CGTCCCGGGACGATCTTCTCTGGACTCAAATCGTCCAAACGAAAATTAATTCCAATTTCTTCGTCCCTGGACGATGCTCTCGGGAAAATTTCGTCCATGGACGAACCAATTTCGTACAGACGAACCATGCAGAGTTCTTCACAACCTGTACCGATCGTCCCGGGACAATCCACTTCGTCCCGGACGATCCTAGAAGGAAAACAGCCTTTACACATACATTGTGAAAAAAGTAAAGTAAAATAAAATTTGTTAGTTACATCATTTAGTTCTAATTAGAAATCAATATTGAATGCATCCATTTATTTTAAACTCCACAAATGCTCACAAAAATCTCTCAAATGTACTGATTTTTTTATTCCACACAGAAGGAAAGAACAAATTATCATATTCTAAAACATATTTTCTATCTACAAAGAACAAAATGAGCTCTAAATAAATTTGCTAGCATATTAAATGCATCCATTCTCACATTGTATCCATTATAGATGTTATAATAGAACGGAAAAAAGCATGATGAAGAATATTAGCTGAGCATACAAGTTGATAATGAGAACAATTAGTTCAATGTAGATTAATTGACCAGTTTCACCTTGGAAGATTTCAAAAGGGCACGGGCAAGGCATATAAGCTGACACTGGCCAATAGAAAAGGTAACTGAGCTTTCTTTCACCTGAATATCAAGGCCCCCAGCAGATTCAATTAAAGTTCTTATATGAACTTTCTCAAGAATTTCCCAAATTTTTTCCTCACTCGTCCCACCCGACGGGTCCAGGTTATCCCTTCAAAAGACACAGGAATAAATCATCCAATAAGCTTGAACCCATTGAGAGAAAAAGCTTCACAGCTGCCCCTTTCAACAAGGAATTTTCATATTGCCAAAATGAGCTTCCATGAGCCGAAAATGCGACAAAAATTTAGAGCGCATGCACATCGATACTTGGAATACCTTAATGATCCCTCAAAAAGGAATGGGCTTTGTGGAACTACTGCAAAACTTTGACGAAGTTCTCTCACAGCAACCTCAGCCACATTTAGGTTGTCTATGAGTATGCGCCCATTACAAATGGGAGTTAGACGAAAAAGGGCATTTATCATGCTTGATTTCCCAGCTCCTGTTCTTCCAACAACTCCAACCTGAATACAAATACAATCAATGATATGAAATGTATTTTAATGTGATCAGATATATAGTTAGAAAGAAATGAAGTGGAAAATGTTTGTAATTCAAACCTTTGCATCGCACAAACCTGCATGCCAGCATTGATTTTAAATGACAGATTATTTAAAGCTGCTGGTAGTGAGGGCTTATATCTTAGTGTAACATGTTCAAATTCAATCTGCCCATGGGATGGCCAATCTAGGTGAGGAGATACTGATCCACATTGTTCTTCTTGAGGAATATCAATGTACTGGAGAAAGAAATGAGAGTATAATTGACAAATTTTCATGTCAATGAACAAATAACATAGTCATTCGAGTACCTGAAGCACCCTCTCAACAGAAACCATTTCTTTCTCGGTCTCCGTGAAGCTTGTAAGAAAGCTACTTAGTAAGGATACGATAGGAGAAGCATAAGAAAGAGCCAACCCAACCTAAGAATAATCATCAATTGTTGGCATGAAAGTTTGAAAAGAAAGTATTAAAGACAAAATCATACAAATGCCAAGGAAGTGACATCTAGGGCATGTAAGCTTACCAGTCCAGGCGTCCCAAGCTTAAAAGGGAAATCACCAAAGTTGCCAATCACTGCCATTAGGGCGATGAAAGAAATAATAAATGCTGCCAGCAACTAAAGCACAATGTTATTGAAGCCAAGATAAACATAGAGACTATACAAATTGAAAATATCAACATTACACTTGCTTCTGTAACCTTCAAAGAATTAAATAAGCATGAAAGATGAATCCAGTGCTCATATTTGACTAAATAAACAACGCTAGTGGATGAGCACCCTTGCGAGTACTTAAACATATGAACACCCCTCAAATTAAACTTTCATTAAGAAGGCCCTTGAAAAAACCAGCTTAAATTGTAGACATCCTATCCAGACCCTCTCCTTAAATTTCAACAATAACTTCAACATACAGGACTTAGGTAAGGTCCCAACATGCAAATATCAATTTATAAAATTAACAAGACCTTTATTCAAGTTTTCTAATTCAAGAGAAAAAATATCTCTACATAGGCGGTCTGCAAATAAGTTTTATGACCACCTTTTCCTGGTTTCTACCTAGGCTGCTGAGGTCACGGTCTAAGGGGAAAAAAGATCTAAATACAAAACAAAATAAAGGTGATAAGAAACTTACTTGGAGGCGCAAAGAAAGCCACAGACTAGCAGTTATCTCAGAGTAGGATGTTTTCTGGTATAAAGCCACATGCTTAGAGAATTTGGCCATGAAAAAATCCTGTCCAGACAAGTCACCAGCTGTTTTAGATGACACATTCAAGGCAACGGAGCAAGCATATAATGATGATTATATATATATATCATCATCATCATCATCATCATCATCATCATTACCATTAACTTTATTGAATGCCCCAGCTATATGGGTTCTTCTTTAGCAATCCTTGTTCTCCTTTTGTTCCTGCTAAGTATTATATCATGTGCTAACCCTTTAAACAAAACCAAATTTTCAACTTCTAACCAGTTTAAATTCAATCTAGCTTTTCTCCCTAAATCTTCAACATCTATTTTATTGGCTCGCATTATTGATGCATTGTCTTGTTACGAGGGTTGAATAACAATGAAGAGAGTTAATCCCAATACACCAGTTGGATTATGGTTAAAAGACACTACAAGTAACTTTGAAATAGAACTCATGTTTTACCTCCAATGTGGGACTATGTATGACACACGAGAGAATTGATTTAGTCTCATATTAATTAGTTGAATAACGTGTCAGTGTTAAAATAACAAATGATTGACCCAACCTATAGGCTTAAGCTTTTTGGCTGAAAAAAAAAATGATGATTAGTGTATTAACCCAACTTCTATCCCCCTTTAGTTCAAATTTAACAAGCTGGTTATCAAAGCTAAGAATAGATTGAAATCAAGGCACTCACAGGTTTTGACTAACTCTTATCATAGGAAAGCAAGATTCAAGATAGGATGTATCCATGATTTAGTGGGATTTTTATGCATGAAATATGATGACGTTGAAAAGCTATAATTTGAGGTAGAGTGATGGAAAATATAGAATGCTCTCATGTGAGGTGGAAATTGTTGAAATACATGAGTATTAGTTTAGCATCAATATCAAAAATTTAAATATTAATGTTGAAATACCAAGTGATTATCCCAATTTTGGCCTCCCATTAGTTAACACTCCTCGACAAGACTTTTCTTTGCTCCGAGATATATATATATATATCAAGAATCTTCCCTTTACTATGTGGATCAATCATCCTTAAACAAAAACTCAACGCCATAAAGTATCATACATTTAGAGTCTACTTAACCTAATCGAGCTTGCATGGAAGTCATCTGATGTTTCAAATTGCTCTACTAAATAGAAGACGCATGGAGCCACAAAACAAGTTATCCAAGCCAAAAACATCAATTTTATACCACTTCTTAGGAGAATGGAACGTTAAAAGACTTAATAATGTGAGATGTCTTAGGGTCTCAGTTTTTCTAATGAAAATCTAGGAAAAGATGCATAAAATCATGCACACAAAATCAAATTCACACATTATAAACCATCATTTAAAACAATTACACTTTCTTTAAATGTAAATAAGAAAATATGCAAAATACACAAAAAAAATCTAATGATCATCCAATTATAACGATTCTATAAGAAATTTGAAACTATAAACTTTACATTTTGATAAGATCTACGAAATATTTAGAAACTTAGTTTTTACCAATTTTGACTGAATTACTCGCACTTGCAAAAGAACTCATAAATTATATATAAGAAAACAAGGAAATCAACCATCAACAAAAGGATCTAGGTTTCACATTGATACGAGGTGATAACTTTCTTTGAAATTTTTTAGTTAACAATGGGATTGCACAAGAAGAATTCAACAATCAACAAACACACAAGTTAATAAATGAAATTTTTATCAAGCAAAATGAGCTGAAAAATTACAAGCCTCAACTTTTGTATTTTAAAACATCGTCTTTTGGATATTCCCAAATCAACTTATCCATTTTAATGAGAAAACAGTAGCTCGCTCTCATAGGAAACCTCATGCAAATGAATAGATACCGAACCAGATGCTGAAATAACATAAAGAAGCAGCAACAAAATAGGGTTGGTGGATAAGCACTAAAAAAATGACTGGGCAAAGAACAAAAAGTACAGAGTGACATTGCAAAACAAGACTTCCACGTCACCTGGTGAAGTCCAATAACTACTGTATAAAAACTCATCACTTCCAATGTGAAACTAATCTCTACTCTCCTGTAGATCTCAAAAAGATCAATCCTTCGAATATTGCCCAAATCACCCAAGTTGATTTCCATACTACTAAAAGAATCATTTCTCTATCTTGTCATTCTTATTTCTATCATCCCGAACTTGGCTATCAATTATTTATTTTAACATTAAGGTTAAAATTTTTTAAAACTCTAATAGCTACAAAGAAACATTTAGGATCTCTTCAACTAGAGCTAAGTCAAAACTGAAACAAGAATGCCACCGTTGAAGCAAGCATACTTGTGCACATAAACACCAGCAAACAGACAATGATACAACAAAGGTCGTTAGGGATTTATTTTAACCCTTGAAGAAAATACATTTTAAGAACTCTATCAAGATAATAAATGCCTCATTCAATAATATTTCTTTCTAGAGTGAAGCATTGAGCAGATATATAAGATTACCATAATTTAATGCTAATGTCATTGTCTATACCACAAACCTGAAGGGGCCTCAAACTTTTCACCGGTATAGCAACTAAGTGATAAATGATCTGATCCTCAAAGAAGAATTAAAGGCTTTAAACATTTAAACAGAATTCTTCCTTCCATCCATGAACAAACATACCCATCCATTCACTTAACAGTTTCAAATCTTCTTAAAAAAGAGGCTTTCCCTCCATACATCAATAGATATATCCATCCATCCTCTGAACCAGGCAACATGCAGTACAAACGTGTAAAAAAATATAACAAAATTAAGGCACAACACATAATGGTTTCAATTACCTCTGACTTTAATGCCCTTATAGTCGATGAACCATCCAGCGTTTCTGTAAATGAGGAATAGATGGGTGATCGAGAAACACTGTCAAGCCTTCGCAACTCACGGGAAGTAGACCTATAGTAGAACTGTAAAACATGTCAGTTTATCTCTTGGATTGTGAATGAAAACAATAATCAATAAAAATAATAATTATAGCATAAGGTGTTGTGATATCAAACTTAAGAGGCACCCAAACCGTAATTATTGGCCTTTAGTAACAAAACGTGATGGGAGATTGGAAAAAATATGCATTGCAGTTTTCTTCATCCACTACTACATCAATATAACTTTCTTCAAGAACTCAAATATTCAAATGCAAACAGATAAAAAAAAAGGTGTTAAAGGTTAAAATTAGAAAATATAGCAAATTGATATTTGCAAGAACACGCAAACACTAGTAAATATGAGTGTGTTCCGACTTCTTAAAGAGTGTGTGTTTCAGGTAAATTTCAAAAGGTGGATTGGATTGTAGATAAGATACTATCCAGATATTTTATTCTCATTTTACTAGGATTTTATGATTTGGATTTATACTTCCATAGATGCAAGCCTTCATAAATAATTATCCCTCTTAGTAATGAGAGAAATTTTTTTATTAAGGTCAATCATTACATCCTAAGTGCTTAGCTCATAGTAGCATCAATTTTATTTTAGGATAAAGAAAATTAATTTCATAGGAGGGACGATTATGAACCCAATCAAGATATATTTTTTCATCATCTTATGTTGTCCTGGATCATGGTCTACTTAGTCAGCGGAGATAGTCAACCTAATTTGACCAAAGAATCATTATCAACAACTATTAATTGTGTCGTCTAAAAAGATCTTGTAAACCTAGAGTGAATATTTATCTATGGGTATACTTTAGTTAACAAAGAGCTGAATGACCTATCAAATGCACTCCATGATTCAAAACTCAAAAAGAATAAGCAATTGGGAACTTTCAAGCTTTAACCGTTATTGTAATTTGAGGGAGCAATTTTGCAGCAAATCATAGTCAAAGGACCGGATCATAACCATTTCATTGTAGTGTCATTTTATGGTAAAATCATTCGATAAGAGGACACATATGATGTCTTTACCGATGTAAGATCCTCTGAGAGTAAGAATAACGATATACTCAATATGACATTTGATCTTTATAAGCTGAGGTTATCTTAAAATTTTCACCCACATGAAACTATTATGGAGGCAAGATGGGTTGTTTCTTTAAGCTTTAATGGTAGATTTATTGATTGAAATATCTTTATATCTTTTTTAATTTTATGTGCGTATTGACAATTTGGGTGAAATGATTTGCTTTGAGATTTGGAGATATTTTCAATGTAGGCCACAAATGGTTTGCGTTGAAATTTGGAAGCATTTTGATTATACGAGTCCCCTCCAATTGAGATTCACTTTCAACACGACCTTCATCGGGATATTTGAATACTTATACTTATTCTGCTTTGAACCTTATCAACTATGCTCAGTTTCTTTTAGAGAATTGAGTGCATAACCTGTGTGTTACTTGAACTCAGTTAAGTATTTATTGCAAAGAGACCTTATCGATTGTAAACCATAGATAGAGGATTAGGTTTGGGATGTAAAAACTCAAGATTGTTCTTGCAAGTAATATAAACAAAAGTCTAATTTTTTTTAATAAATATTCTTTGAAATAAAATTTAAAGGCCTTATAAAAATACAAAAACAAATATCTTCAACAAGATTCGCACTTGAGTATTTGATTTTTGATCCATTATAATGAGATTTTATAAATTTAAACCACGAGAGGAGAATTTTAAAAAAAAAACATTATTTGAGGCAAGTTTTATATGTATTAATTTTTATAATGTGGAGGATCGGACTTGAAAGTAAAACTTATGATCTTGCCCTATAGAAAGGGTGGACTGCTTGAGAAAATTGTAGCTTGCTGAGTTCGAATTTAAGTTTGAAAGGGAACTTGCACATTTTTTAAAAGTAATAACTTCCTTTTTCTTTCTTTTTCGGTTTTTATTCTCTCTTTTTCTTGTTTTTACTATTTTCTTTTTTCTTTTTCTTTTTCTTTATGTTCTCTAGAGATAGATAGAGAAAGAGGTAAAGATGTCAAGGGAGTACAAGAGAGTGAGGCTGAGAGAAATGGGGAGGGGGGGAGATTGAGGGCAATCGAAAGTGGAATTTGAAAGGTTTGCATGGCACCTTAGAGACTAACGGGGATGAATGTTGTAGAGCTATACAAGGAGTTGGAAGCGTTGAAGGTGGTTGTCAAAGCTGTTGGGTGACTATTTGGGTTGAGTTAGTGAATAGAGGTTGTCGAGCAATCAAACGAAGACATGTCGTTGACCTCCAAAAACATCCAACAAAACAATTCTATTAAACATGATGAAAACATCGGTTAACGAACATGACGTCGTGCAAATATGGTTCGAAGAACCTTGACTGAAATTAAAGCAACCTAGCCATCACTTATTTATAGGGGTGTAAGTGAGTCACCGACTCGTGAGCTGGCACCAGTTTGACTCAATAAATGGTTCACGAGCTGAGCTCGATGAGCTAAAGAGCCAAATTTGAGCCAGCCACAACTCGACTCGTTAGTCTTGTTTAAAAAATATTAATATAAAATATACCTCAAATATATTATGATTTAGGATTTTATGAACAAAGTTATTAAAAATGTTTAAAAAGTATATCTTACTAGTTTATATTAAGTGATTACTATTTTTTATAGTTTCTTATTCTTTTTATCATTTTATTATAATAATTGCTTAAACCAGAATCATTTTCTTTATTTTATAATAAACAAGCCGACTCATGAGCCGGATTGAATTCGTAGAATAAAGCTTGACTCGAGCTCGAGCTCGAACTTGATTAATTAATCAAGCTCAAGCCAAGGGTGACTCGAGCTCGGATTGACTCGTTAGCACCCCCAATATTTCCACAAGACAAACAACACAATTTTGGTTTAAAATGCCTCTTGTTCAGACACGCGCCCACATGCAACTCTTCTACGCCCTCCCCGACCTCTCTCTCTCTCTCTCTCATTTTTCCTTTTTCTTTTACCCAAATTTTCTAAGCCTTCTACGACAACAAAAGCAAGGAAGTCCGTCAAGATTTGCTGGGGAGAAGACATTAATGAACTCGGAGGCATATGTGAAGAAATCACAGAGGAAGTCATCGGTAGAAGAAACCGACGAGCCCAACAATGTATGAAAGATATGAATAAGTCATGTAAGAGCTCGTGTGGTGAAAGGCTCAATGAGATCAATAATGCACAAAGAGATCAACAATGCACAAAGAAGAATGGAAACCTGTGAGATGTGTAAATTAATCAAACATGTACTCCAACTACATCCTCATTGATGGCCTTTTCCATCATCAATGGCTTCATCGTAGCCTATCCACTATCTCTCTTCCCTCTCCACTTATCTCACTTTCTCCTATTATTTTCCTCACCATCAATCCACTTCGTCGACAGCCACTTCGAAGAGCCTTAAACAATCTCTTAATTCTCAGTTCTCTTTTCCCCCTCTTTCGTAATCCACTTCGAAGAGCCTTCAACCATCTCTTAGTTCTCACTTCTCTTTTTCCCCCTCTTTTACTCCAGCTCACTCTCTTTCTCTCTCAACTTGACTCCTCACAACAGTCATCAACCCAATAATTTTGACGACCTTCGAAAGCAAACTCCCTTCCTCCTCTCTATCTCTTCTTTGCCATCTCTCCTACCCCTCCCTCTCTCTATCTCTATTTCTCTTTGTAAAAAAAGAGTTGAAAAAAAGGAATGAGTATTTGTGCATGATCTCTCCCTACTATCTCATCGCTTCGCTAAAAATTCGTTATCAACATCACCTCACAAAAGGTATAAAATGAGAAAATAGCGGAACCGACAAACTTAAGCACAATATGCGTCTTTTTTAACTCGATGAAGAAATCAAATATTGTGTTTCTCGTGCAAGTGACCTACACATGCATTTCTTGTCATAGTGGGGAAAAGACTCATACATACATTTCTTAAAAATTTGGGAAACAAGACTAGGGCTACCAATAACAAGTACAAGTATGAGTCTTCCTTGAAACGACAGAAAAATTCAACGCTACAAACTTTTGTGCAGGTATGATGACCCATGCAAAACTTTCTTGGAGTGGTTGATGAGGACATCGACAGACGCTACCGACATGTTTATCGACGAAGGAATCGCAGATCTACGGCCACGATTCAGCGCCTCTACTTTTGATTTAGATTTCATGATGTATTATTTAGTTATTTGCTATTTTTCATTTTTACCCCTTTGGAGAGTTGGTTTTGTTATTGTAGCCTAGAGGACAATTTCGTACTTTTTCTTTTCATGAGTGGAGACCTATATATATTGGTCTCATATGTTGTAATAGGTTAATGAATATTTGAATGAAAATTTTATGTTGTCTTCTTCTTGCATGAGAGCTAGAGAAGGGTGATTGAGCTCAAGGTGAGCGAGTGCATTACCCACCAGTCGTTGGAAGCGTCCGCAACTCGTGGCTTTATTTTATCTTATTGTCTTTTCTCCACCTCTTGTTCTCCTCTTCTCCAACCCGCCACTTAGCTCCTCGTCTCCCGCCCAACCCGGCGCCACCTCAACCCCCACTGCTCATACCGCCGGTCACCCCATCTTTTTTGCCCCATGACGGTAGTCTCAATGTCATCATGACTTTCCATAATTCACCCTACGAAAAATTAGAAAGAATTTGATTCAAATTTGAAATTCAATTTTTGAATTTCAAATTCTTTCCAAATTTGGAAATTCTTATTGAGGAAAGTGTTATGCATGATTCAAATTTAAATTCAAAGATTTTGGATTTAGTCATAACCTTCATAATACAATTTTCTTCTTTGGAAACTCCCCAAACCTTTCCCAAATCCCCTCCCTCTCTCTCTATATGCCGCCGGCCACCATGTGGCTTTCCTCCCATTAATTCCCCAATTAAAGCATTAATGGCCACTTAATTTGAAATCATTTCAAATTAAGTTCCCCCCAATTTCATTCAAAACCTGAAATTAATTTCAAGTTTTGAAATAACCCCCTTCCCCTCTCTCTAGAAGCTGTCGGCCCCTCCTTGGCTCCCCCTCATTAATTCCCC